CCTCCAACCTAATAGCGATGGCCTCCACCCTAAGAGCGATGGCCTCCAACGTACTAGCGATGGCCTCCAACCTAATAGCGATGGCCTCCAATCTAATAGCGAAGGCCTCCACCCTAAGAGCGATGGCCTCCAACCTACGAGCGATGGCCTCCAACCAACCTAAGAGCGATGGCCTCCCACCAACCTAAGAGCGATGGCCTCCACCCTAAGAGCGATGGCCTCCAACCTGCTAGCGAAGGCCTCCACCCTAAGAGCGATGGCCTCCAACCCGAGCGGTGGTGTCCAACCTACTAGCCATGGCCTCCAACCTAAGAGCGATGGCCTCCACCCTACTAGCGAAGGCCTCCACCCTAAGAGCGATGGCCTCCAACCCAATAGCGATGGCCTCCACCCTACTAGCGATGGCCTCCACCCTAAGAGCGATGGCCTCCAACCTAATAGCGATGGCCTCCAATCTACTAGCGAAGGCCTCCGATGGCCTGGCCTCCAACCTAATAGCGATGACCTCCACCCTAAGAGCGATGGCCTCCAACCTCATGAGTCGGTGGCGGGTCTCAGTGCAATGGTTTTTCTGGAAGCTGGGGTCAGCTAGAGCAGCAAGACCAATGGTGACGAATGGTGTTGCACTCTCAAGACCTTGGTGACGAAAAGCGGCCAATGGTGCACTCTCGTTCTTGTGCGCTCACGACTGGGGACGACCAATGGAGACGACCTGAGGCCAGTGGACTTTCAAAATGAGCCGCCTGGCCGGAAAATGGAGCAAGGACGCTAGTAGTAACAAGTGCCACGCTAGTAGTAACAGGTGCCTTTCTAGTAGTAACAAGAAGCTATTAGGAACAAGATTTAAATTAGAAGCAAGGATGCTACTAGGAACAAAGGGCATCGCTACTAGGAGCAAGGACGCTACTAGGGGCTCCTGGCCTTACTACTAGGAGCAAGAAGCTAGGATTGGAGATCCATGGGGTCAGATGGAGTCAGATGAATGCAGCGTGTCGCTAATCAGGGTCAGTTCGGGCGGTCAACTGCCCAAAGAACAGCATGCCACCATGAACCAAATTCTGAATATAGTTATAGTCGTACATAGTTACTGTCAGCTATGAGGTTGGAGGCCATTTGGCGGCCATCGCTAGTTGTATATTTCTTGGTGGATTTCGCTTTCACATGTGCAGAACTTGCTGATAGAACTCACGGTGTTGTTTCTGTGAGTGATGTCAGACAGGCGGATTTTTGTGAGCTCTGTGGGCACCGACATGAAGACGATCTACCTCCGAGATCCCTTGGAGTCTGCGAGCTGCAGGAAGCAGTGAAGGAACGACTTGGTCGGTGTTTGCAGTATATAACTATATATATGCTGGGAGTCAAAGACCATAAAAAGTAATGGTCTGACTAGGTGACCCGAGTCTAGGAATTTCCTTTACTTCAGTCGGTCAAAATATAGTCTTTGGACTTCTAGGGTATATATAACTATATATATACACATATTTATATAGTCCTTGGAGTGTCAAAGGACTTGTGTTGGATTCTGATGGAGTTTTTGTGTTGGATTCTAATCGTCGTTTGCGGTGGATGTCTTTTTTGCAGAAGCAACGTTGACTGCTTGTTGGAGACTGAATAGAGGGCTTACTTGGAACCTGGTAGATGGTTGACACGAGCTTCAGTATCATTAAGTATCCTTATTTTCCTTTTGCAACTTGTGAGTACATGGTGCAAGAAGCAAACAAAAATTTATTGATGTGTTTTTTTGGGTTGCTTTGGTTTGGATGACTTTAATTGGAACCATTCGTGCGGAGCTCGGTCTTTTTGAGGTCTAGGCGATTTTTACTGGGCTGCTCTGAATCCAGCGGAGATAAGACCCTCCTGTTCTGGAGGGTCTACATTCCAAATTCTGCAAGTTTTGTAGCACATGCCTGCGGAGGTAGCTTGCTTAGTACTAGGAGCAAGGACGCTACTAACTACTAGGAGCGATCGGACGCCATTTTGCCTAACAAGAGCGTAGAACCTTTCGTCGACCCGTCAACCCGTCAACCCCCGACGGGTTGCAGGGAGACCACCGAGTCACGAGGGGTCGAAGCGTTCCCAGTCCCAACGTCGCCAAACCAGGAAGAAGCAGTAAGAAGAACGCAAGAAACAAGGAAAGAAGCAGTCCTAGAAGCAGCCTGGCCTCGAGCTGCCTCCAACCTAGGTATGACCACATCTCGACCTTCTACATCCGCCCACTGGATGACGAGTACATCGACCTGTCCGCGGAGGTGACAGTACTGTGAATGGTGCAAGTTACGCAAGTTCATGAAAAACCATCAGCTACCATCAGCCAATCAGCCATCTCCCATCTGGTGCCTGAACATTTTAGTAACAAAGAAGCTACGTTCGGGCTCCTGGCATCGCTACGAACGGAGCGATCGGACGCTACGAACGGGGCGAAACTGGCCGTACTACGAACGGAGCAATGTTCGCTCAATCTGCCGCTCTTCCGTTCGTGCTCCAGGTGGCCTTGTTGTCACGCAACATCAAGATCCAAGGGGATCCGTTGGGAGCTCTGGACATGGACGGCAACAATTGTCAGACCTTGGGATTGTTCACTAAGACATGTCTTGAAACACCGCAGAGAGGCTTTTGAAGCAAGGATGCTGGTTTTTTCAGTTTCACTGGACGTGGGTGTGCAGACAGTCTGAGGGATCCCCGATCGCCCCTTTTGCTTTATTTGCGAGGTCTCTTTGAGAGGGGTTCTTTGAGAGGTCGCCCTAATTCAATGCACACCCAAGTGGGACCCCCCCCTGACCAGGATGTTTCACAGGCCTTTGTGTTCAACACAAACAGCCCCGAAGTGTCTGTAGAAAGCCCCAAGTGTCTGAAAAGAGTGCCAGTAGATTCCACAGGTCACCATGATCACCAGAATATGCCGATGAGGTTGTCAACAGATGGTTCTCACTTGAACTGACCCCTTTCCGCGCAGAACTGATGCGGTGCGGATCTTGAGGAGTTCAGAGATGGACTCGTGGGGAGGACATACGATGGCCTGGAGGCTTAGAGAACACAGGGGTGAGAGTCAGAGGTGAGAAGAGTCTTGACGCCAAATATGCCCCACTAGTGATTGCCTCCATCCTACTAGCGATGGCCTCCAACCTAATGGCGATGTTTGGCGTGACTGTTTCCCGATGCAGTTTTTCGACGACACGCACCTGGGTCTAAATGGTGGGTTGTCATGCTGGGTTTGGTTTCTTTCCAGACACCCAGCAGAGCCTATGATGCCTAAATTGAGCTCCGGCTCAAAGTCCATCTCCAAAGAAGATGAGCAAACCACCTGACGAGCTGGTGACCTTTGTCACCAACAAGCAATTCAAAGCGCACAACAAGCGAGAGTTGACAAAAGCGATTCAGAGGATTTCTTCAGTTCCTGTTTTTCTTTGCAACGACCTTTCTGGAAGACAGGGTGGGGGGTTGCAGTACAATCATGGTTGCGTGAGGATCACTAGCCTTGCGAACATGAGGCAGATGAACCCGATCTGGCGGAAAGGACTGGTTAAATCCATATAGGTATTTGGTAAGCATGTGTCAACATCAACTCTACCTTCTATCCTCATTTTGCGGCTCCCACACTGCCCACACTACTGCCTCACTCCACACGTGCACAACGCAAAAGAACGTTTCCCAGGTCGCCTTTGGCGGGATCTATCGCATCGAGAACGCCGAGCCGGGCCCCCACACTGGGTCGCAGCGAGTAATGCCTGCCCACTGACCTGGTGAAAACCTGATGGGTGAGCAAACTAGATTCAGATGAGCAAAAAAAGACACTACTAGGGGCTCCTGGCATTGCTACTAGGAGCAAGAAGCTACTAGGAGCAAAGGGCATCGCTACTAGAAACAAGGACGCTACTAGGGGCTCCTGGCATCGCTACTAGGAGCAAGAAGCTACTAGGAGCAAAGGGCATCGCTACTAGGAGCAAGGGCGCTACTAGGGGCTCCTGGCATAGCTACTAGGAGCAAGAAGCTACTAGGAGCAAAGGGCATCGCTACTAGGAACAAGGACGCTACTAGGCGTTTGGGCTCAGAAGCCACTCGCCTTACGGCTGCCGGGAGCCCGCGGGCTGGCGATCCCTCGCGAGGGGGGCGTTAGCCGTCCACCGAGGCTAGTCGCGACTCGACTAGCCACCCGCTTCCTTGGCTTGTCGAAGTCGCGTTTAGCCCTAGCCACGTGCCATGGCCTTCGTTCATGAGTTGCTGGAGGGCCTCGAAGGCCATTGGTCCGCCAAGACCAAGGGCATCTTCGAGGGCTTGCAAGAGGGCCCTGGCGTGATGTGGGAGGACATGACTATCCTTGCTGGCTCCTTCAATGGACTCCTCACGGATGCGATCATGCTTGACCTCGCCCCTTTTGTTCCAGCAGATGGTTTCAGCTTTGGCACCTCAATTTCATCAATTGTTGCCATTCCAGGACTGAATGATCGTGCTCTCCCTTTCTTCAAGGGGGACAGCATTGTGTGTTGTGGGCAGATTGTGCGAACTGCTGCAACCACGTGGAAGGCCAACGGCCAAGTCACGCTCATGAAACGGCCACTTTTTGACCAGGCCGGTGCTTGGGATTTTGTCCATTATTTTGCCGGTGCATTCCATGGCTGGGCGCAAGCCGTCAATGTGTTGCCCAAATTAGTGGACAGTTTTCGAGTTGACGTCGATGCTGAAGTTGCACAGGTGTGGATCGCAAAGCATCACAAACCGTGTCACGTCGGACCCTTGCTGCCACGTAAGGCCTTTGAGATGCATGCACAAGCTTTCGTCCACACGCAGGTTTTTGACCACACGGTCTTCCATCTGCTTGCCCCTCAGGGAAATCTATGCTTCACCGCGTCGCCACCATGTCAACCGTGGTCAAGAGGCGGCCGAGCTTTCGGCATCGCCTCCAGTCAAGGCTGGGCTTTCGTGGACGCTGTTCGCATCACCATAGCGGGCCAACCGCTCATGCTCGCACTGGAGTGTGTCGACGAGGTGGCAACACATAGCCATTTTGCCATTTTGGAAGAGCTACTGCGGATCGGAGGCTATCGTTGTGCGTGGCAACGGGTGGTCCCATTCCACCAAGTTTCGCACATACATCGATCGAGGTGGCTGGGAGTTTGGCTACGCTTGGATGTTTTCGCCCTGGCTGAGTGCCCCTCTCTTCCGCTTCGGGTGGAAAAGATCATTCCTAGGTCTGCGCAACACTACAGGTTTACCATCCCAAAGGGTATTCGGGAGCAGCTGTGTTTATCTCAATCTGAGCTTCGAGTGTATGGCGACATCCACTTGCTGCCCACGACTAAGAGAAAGATCTTGCCGGAGAATGCCCCGATGACTAGCGTGCTTCGGGCCCGACTTCAGGATCCGTTTGAGCCTCTGCCGACGCTATGCGCCTCCTATAGCAATCAGCACAACTTGGCCAAGTCACACCTGGCCGTGAAGGGGATTTTTGCAACACTGGACAGTGACGGCAAGGATTTTTTCTTCCTCGACCCTTTTGCTCACATCGCCCTCCTTGGGGCCACAGAGTCCACCGTGGTCTCTTCCAAGATAGTGCTTGCTTTTCGCCAAATCGGCAATGCGATTTCAGTGCCTCAAGCGTTGCTTACATTGTGCATTGGCTTCAAGACCCTCATGTCATGGGAGGTTGATCTGACGGACCTCGTCCGCAAGTGTTGGGCAAAGCGGTTGACCAGCTTCTCTAGTTTTGTGATTCAGTGCAGCCGTTTCGCAACTTTGTGTTCAGCTCAAGCTTTCGTACATGAGTTCACCATTGAGGCTGCTACTCAGCCTCTTGAGATCGAATGTGTGAGGTGGAAGGTGATGCACTGCCGCACCGAAGCAACGAAGACGATCTTTTTGCCTGCAGACTGGAAGGTTAGTCAAGCCCCAGACATCTTCCGTTGGCATTTCGATGTCCGCAGCCACATCTTCTGCCAAAACGAAGATTTCAAGCACTGCCAGCAATACACTTTACACGATTATGCTGTCATTGTCCGTCAGTGTCAGGTGTGCATTGATGGTTTGCCTTTCTTGCAGGTCGACATGATGCCCCAGGGTCCTCATTTGAATCAAGCACCGCCACAGACCCAGGAGGCGGATTGTACGGTTATCTCACCGACTTTGCCCATGAGCATCCATGTGCCGAAACCAGGATGTGCTTCGAATCCTTGTCCGTTGGACTTTGATGCCATTGCACCCACGAATGCATTTCGACAGGTACTCGAATCCACGGAGCATTGCCTCAGGAGTGACCAAGGTGTCCCCGCTTTGTTCGCTTTTCGATGTCCTGCAATGTCCTTCACTGGGCTGGTTTCGGAAGACTTCCTCTCTCCCTCCGGATTTGAGATTGTGGAACCATCGGGCAAGCGGATTCGTTTGTCGGTGTCACAGACTGAAAGCCCAAGCCAGTGTGCCTTCTTTTTGGCCACTCAGACCGAAGATGGACATGAGCCTTGGTTCGCCTTTGTCCGTAGCAGCGGAGCCATAGGAGTCGCCCAAGTCAACAAACAGCCTGTCTTGTCCAATCTCTTGCACATCGGAACAAGCTCTTTTGCCATCGAGTACCAGAATGGCCTGCAGTGGTCCAATAACTCGTCTATTTCCCAGGGCGATGTCCTTGTGTTGTCCTACCAAGGTCCCATTCATGCGGGCGGCCACCACGCCGGAGGGCCTCAAGTCTTGGCCCCAGGCGCATCATTCGAGGCTCGATGTGAATTTGCAGTCAACACTTCAGGATGGATTGCGGTTGACGAAATGACTTTTTGGGTTCAGCACGTCCAATGGCTCGCACCTGGCTATGCCTATTTCTCCATGCCCGTCCATTGGGACGATGACAATGGGGATTTCGATTTCGGTCCGCAAGTTGAGTTTGCTGTCCCCAACAATCGTCTCACCGTGATTCCGATTCTTCTGCGGTCACATTGGTGCGCTGTTGAGGTGAATCGTGCGAGCCACCTTGTCACTGCCCTAAGTCACCGAAATTAGTAAATTTACATTTTCATTGGATTTACGTAAATTGATGAATTTAGGTGGCAAAAAGTGTAAATGGGTTAGTAAATGTAAATTTGATTTAGGTACAACCTAAATTTATTTAGGTTGGTCTTCACTAAGGGTTTTCCTATTTTTTCATTACGTTTTGATTTGCACATATTCAAAACTGCATCTAAAACACATCTTTTGAAGAAAGTAATTTGTAAAACATATAGCCACAAGTAGAGACACTTGGATAAAACTACAAGCACACACACTCAGGTATAAGCACGCAGGAAAGACAAACACAAGAAAAATATCTTGGGTATAAGCACCATGAGCTTTCCATCCTTTGTCCTGTCCAGGACTTGGTTCACTATCTTGCGCTGTTCTTCTGTGCGTCCCTTCTTCATGCTCAAGGTCTTCTTCCAAGCCTGCGCAACATAGTCTGGCAGAGAGCCCCCAGACAACAAGGCCTTGAACTTGTTGTCCTTCGACCTGTCCTTCTTGGCCTCATCGCACTCGAAGAAGTCTGCATTGTCCTGCTCCTCCTCCTCCTCCTCCACATTCTCTTGGTTCATCCTCTTCAACTTCTGGCGCTTCCTCCTCCTGATCCTCCTGCAACCCTGCTGCCCAGCCATGAGCTGCTGGCTTCTTCTTTGGCTGTACGGTTTCTCCACTGGCAGCAGGCCTTTTTAAAGAGCCTGCCTTTGGCTTTGGCTTTGGCTTGCTCTTTCCTTTTGCTTTGGGCTTCTTCCCTGTAGGGCTCTTTGCTTTTGGGCTCTTGGATTTTGGGGTCTTTGCTTTGGAAGCTGGCCTTTGCTTCACAGGTGTACTGGGCTCTTCAACTACACCATCGTCCTTCTCCTCAGGAGTGACTTGGCCCATGGGGATCTCTTCCTCTGCCATGCCAATGCCAACAAGCTACTGCGCCTATCTTTCAAACCTTTCAAAGCTCTTTGAGATCAATCTAGCTGCAAAAGTAAACAACAACCAATAAGCCAGCTGTGCAGTAAACTCTCAACAACTTCAATTTGAACAACATACAATGCTGATCAACTCTTTGTGCAAAAGCATTACCTTCTCAGGTAAAGGATAAACCAACTTCAATTTGAACAACATACAATGCTGATCAACTCTTTGTGCAAAAGCTTTACATTCTCAGGTAAAGGATAAACCAACTTCAAATTGAACAACATACAATGCTGATCAACTCTTTGTGCAAAAGCATTACATTCTCAGGTAAAGGATAAACCCACAAGAATGCTAGATATCTTTTTGCTGACAATATGATGCAGAATATCATAGCTTTTCATAAAATCTGTAAAAAATTGTATGAATTTTGATGCACTTTTGATGCACTTCTGGTGTACTTTTCAAAAGTGTATACACTTTTAACAAAAGTGTATACACTTTTGATCAAAAGTGTATACACTTTTGAAAAGTACATCAAAAGTACATCAGAAGTGCATCAAAAGTGCATCAAAAGTTCATCAAGAATTCATCAATATTTTCTCTTAAATTTCTAGTTTTTTGAACTAAATTTCATAAATACATATCAAATACACTTCAACTCACAACAAAACTAAACAAGACTAAGCACACAATTCCAAGTTGAATGGCGTCCTCATGTAAAGTATACTTACACAAAGTCTCAACCACTGAAGTAAAATACACTCAAGTAAAACCATCCTCAAGTAATGTCTGCCATGCTCAAGTAAAGT